ATTGTTTTGAATTGTGATCTCAACCATAAACCATGCAGGGTACTGCAGCAGAATGACATATGGTATCCAGGATGAAGCCAGTGATAGACAAATAATGTAACAGCTTCCTTTATCTATTGAGGATGTGTCTCTGTTGACGGGGAGAATTTGTTCCAGGAGGTTAGATGAAGATACACGGATGTTTGGTGCTTCTGTTCTCAAAGATTACCTCTAAAACAGTTTGTGTGTTATGTGGTAATAACGACCTCTTGGAAGAACTCCAAACCTTTGGTTCTTTTGTTGTCAGCTCTTTCTATACAGCAATGTAGGGAGCAGTATACGGGCTTTCAAAATGAGGAATGTGCTGCCTGCCTTGTTACCTTGTGGGGAAAGTGAATGCATCTGCACAGAGAACTGAGTAGTCAGATACTGTACAATCTTTCACGGATCAGTAGCTCCAGGAGGTGTTGTTGGGCTGTAAAATTATTTTATCACACTGTTGGGGAGACAAATGCAGCAGACTATTCATCATATACCAATGCTATAAGTTACATATAAGTTAAACAATATGACACTTTTTATGATTTTTGAACCACACAAAATAATGTGAAGGGACTAAAAAGGGCTAGCTAGCTACAATTCTTTGCCAAGTCTCCGCCTATAAAAGCAAAAATAATTTGCTCGTGAATAATAAATAGTGTAGTTTAGTAGAAGAAAAAAAAACACCGATACTCACACGTGTAACATATTTAAAAATTGGTTTGTTTTATTATTTTCTGCATCAGTTAAAACACACAGGGAAAACTAGCTGGATATCTGGCAAGGAAAGAGTCTACAGCCAAGCTAGCAGCTCTGTGAGGCAGCTGTCCTTAAGCTGTGTCTTACTTCATATACTTCAGTTAACATGCAGTACACTGTGTACACTATGTACTTAATGTTTAGTGCATACATTTGGCAGGGTAGTGTCAAATCGAACACGGATGTGGCACACTTAACGCAAACGACAATGGAACATATGACCGCCTCTTCTCCTCTTCTTCTCTTCTTCCTCTTCTTCTTTTAATAACAAATTGTAACTGGGCAGATCATTATCAGCATAATACACCATCCGGTACTCATAGTACTTGTCATTGTGAATTCTCTTAGGCACTTAATGTAGCAAGTGTAAGTATGAAAGGCTGTGAATTGAGACACAGCTTTAGACACAGCTGGGCTCTGAGCTAAATGCTTGTGTCAGCATGCAAACCACTCATATAGCTTATATAATATTAGTTTAGCGTGTTAGCATGCCAACATTTGCAAATTATTACTACAAACTAAGCACAGTCGAGGCTGATGAGATGCCGTGCCTTACGAGTATTGGTGAAACTGCTACTGACAGATACATGTTTCATGTACAGTAGGCTATGTGGTAAAACTTTTCATGAAAATCACAGAACATATTTTCTGCATCAATCAAAAACCTTCTGGAAATCTGACCCACAGCTCAGAAATGCAAACTAACTTCTGTGTTTCAGGAGTACAGACTGAACCCTTCAACTGCTATTTTCATGGCTGCAAACAAAAGAATCTATTGCATTTTTAATCAGGTAAATACTCATGTGATTCCAGCCTATATGTGGAAAAGGTATAACTTCGTCTCTGGTAGGCACCCTATAATGAAGAAACCATGGCTGTCATGTAGCTTTCCTGACACGAGTCTGAGTGATTAAGCATTTAATATTCCTACAGTGTGAGGCAAAGACATAGTATACATATGTTGTTGTTAATAAACCCTGTGTTTGTTGTCTTTCTTCTTTTTTCAGTGTGCTCCCGAATTTCTTTGTGTTCTCCTAAATGTTTTCATCCAGGAGCCCTGAGAGATAAAAAAAAAAAAAAGGTGTTGGGCAGTTGTCAGTCAGGCAGCAGGCATGTCCCTGCCTGCCTTGCTGATAACGGCCAGATGGAGCAGCGACCTCACCTTCGTCACCCAGCATTTCCAGTAAAAAGTGCTAAGGAAGGCTGTCCTGAACTTGTCACCTGAAAGAGTGTACAGAGCCAAGTTAAAAAACGTGTTGAATCCAGCCAGAGGCCTGGAGATAATATATGCTGCATGCACGATGTGCTCAACCATGCATGGTGTCGGTTGGTACTTTCGAGTTTCTATCCGCAACACACGCAATATGTGATATGGCAGGAAACACACCACAAACACTACGAGGATTAGCACGGTCACACGCCGCGCTCGCATCCGACATGGACTGGCTGTGTAGGGCCCTTTCGCCAACTCCTTCACTATTCCAATGTAACACATGAATACCACCGCTAGAGGGAGTAGAAATCCGAGTGCAGTGAGCAGCCAGCCATACACCCGAATGTTGTCAACGGGCACGGTGCTTGCAAAGTCCAGGCAGGAGGTATTATTGTCATGCGGCCCCAAGGATATCATTGTCAACATGGGTGTAATTTCAGCCGCGGCAACAACCCAGACGACTGAGCACGCAATTATTCCCCAAAACTTCTGCTGCACTTGTGCAGCCCTCAAAGGCTTGATCACCACCACATAGCGGAAAACTGCGAGACACGTCAGGAAGAGGATGCTCCCGTACAGGTTAAAATGAAACCCAAAGCGCACCAAGCGGCACATGAAGTCGCCGAGTGTCCACACATCCATGTTGCTGTAGTAGTAGACCAGGAAGGGCATGCTGAGAACGTAGAGGAGGTCGGTCAGTGCCAAGTTCACCATAATGATGCTGCTGCTTTTCAAGGGTCGCAGCTTTGTCAGGTATATGACGATGGAGGTTACGTTGCCCACCAGGCCCACGATGAAGATGATGGTGTAGGAAACAGGCAGGTAATAGCTTTTTATCAGTTGGTCCACGTCAGTGCAGTTGGCCATGGCTGAGCCCTGTTGGGTAACACACGTAAAATAAAACAATAAACAGAGTGGCTAAAGGGCAAGGCTGTAACAAGCATTGAGGACACCGAGATCATGCCCTCGTTTCTGGGATTTTACAATCTGCAGCTGCAGCAAATTCCATTGATGTTTGTTGACTCAAGATATTTACATTTGTAGAGTCAGCTGAGTGTGAGAAGAATTGGAAACAGTATTTAAATAATCATTTGGGGAGATAAACATTTTAATAGAACATATATACTTATACTTGAATACATAATATAATTTATAATTAAAGTGTGAAAAAATAAATCTGGTCGGTAGTCAATATTTTCATGGGGTGGGGTTTGCCTTCCTAGGGTGTGTTGACGACCAAAAAACATGGCGGCTGATCTTACATGTGCTCTTTAGTACAGTACAAAAAGCTTTTTAAACCAGTGGTTCTCAAAGTGGGGTCCGGGGACCCCCAGGTGCTTGAGGGAGGTCCCCAGAAATAAGTAGCACAGTGATCTAATGTATGACTATTTTGGTCATGGGTCATACACTTTCTGTCTCTTATCAAATGGTCCGTGGTCTAAGTTTGAGAACCACTGATTTAAACTTTAAACCTGCAGTAAACAATTTTTTGGCCACTTGGAGGCAGCGTACAAACACAATGCTAGTAGCAGCGACCGATTTTCATATCGGTCGACCGCTGATGCCGATATTCAGAAAGCATGGCGGCAGATGACTGATATATAATGCTGATCTCAAAACAAAGTTAAGTCATGTATAATTCCATTATTCCATGCAGAGTACAATATAATATACATGATTATCTTAGCCAGTAGTGCGTTGTTGCAGATGGAATTTTTATTAATTAATAAAAATAAATGGGGAAAAAAACATTGGGTTCGGCTGTAAATTTCAGAACGTGACGTGGTGTGGTGTTTAAGGGTACAGTTTGTCAGAAGTGACAAAATTCAACTGCATTATTCTCTACAGTATATATTTAATCTAGCCAGTAAGGGTTTTAGGTTAGATCTGCTGTCATTTAGGATTATATACACTATGTTGCTATACACTATAAGTTTTGGGTCACCTGCCTTTACATGCACACAAAGGTTAATGACATCCTATTCAGTTAATATGGAGTTGGCCCACCCTTTGCAGCTATAACAGCTTCAACTCTTCTGGGAAGGCTTTCCACAAGGTTTGAGTGTGTTCATGGGAACATGGGAAGAAGCGCATTTGTGAGGTCAGGTGTAGATGTTGGACAAGAAGGTCTGGCTCGCAGTCTCCGCTCTTATTCCTCCCAAAGGTGTGAAGAAAGGTGTCAGGTTGGGGTCAGGACTCTGTGCAGGCCAGTCGAGTTCTCCACGCCAAACTTGCTCATCCATGTCTTTATGGACTCTGCACTGGGCACTGGTGCGTCATGTGCACGAGTGCCCAAAGCAAAGTCCAGATGTCCGTCAAAGTTGGGAGCATGAAATTGTCCGAAATGTCTTGGCATCCTAAAGCAATAACAGTTCCTTTTACTGGAAGTAAGGGGCCAAGCCCAACCCCTGAAAAACAACCGCACCCCACCAAACTTTACACTTGGCACAATGCAGTCAGGAAAGTACCGTTCTCCTGGCAACCGGTAAACTTTTTACAGCATTTTCACAGGATTTAGCTGACTGCTTTGACTGGTATGTAAAGCTGTGGCCCTGCATATTGATTAATGCAGCTTTAATATATTAATATTAATATTTGTATATTTGAGCTAAATGAATTGTACATCCCTGGGAATTTGTCCAATTCCCAATTCAAATGAATACATATACAGTACAAGTTTTGGGTGAGGAAAAAATGGGATTTGAGCAAATCATCATTCCACTTTCCCTCAGCTGTCATATCAGTGTCATTGGCAATTACTGCTTGAGGAAGGATGGAGAGAGCAGGGAAAGAAACCCAGAGGCGAGCAGACTAGGAAAGCAACAAATAATCAAGCAAACTCAGTGGGAAAGAAGCAAACAAAATCTTCTTCTCTGCTCGTCAACAGTCTGGTTTCTGAAAGCCTCTCAGGATATGACAGCGCCTATGGCACCCTGGCTTGATGGCTGCTTCCTGTAATGCTGTCACTGCAATCTGCTCTCATTATGGATGTGAGGAGATGTGTGAGGTGTCATTTACACATTGCATGTACACTCAGATTTCATAAGACAGGAACTTGTCCTCATTAAATTATAGATTATATTTTGATTTAAAAAAAATAAAAATACAAACTCTATCCAGCAGTGTTAAAATGCATACATAGAGACTGAGTCATAAAGGTAGTTTGGGGGGGGAAATAGAGTTTTCTACTCACTTTTACAGTGTCCTCATCAGCGCTAACTCCAAGCCTTCAGTGTCCCATCTCTGTTTTCACATCCATTCCTCCTTCACTCTTCCTCCTACTGTCTCCTCATCCCTTCCAGACATTCACGCCCAGGGGGAAACTCCAGCATATTTTGTTTCAAAGCCCTGTTGTGTGCTTCACCTTCAGCCATGCGCACATGCAGACTTCCTTGTGTCATGCTTGAGCTGATAAAGCTCATGGTCGCTTTATTTGCACAGATCGTGTTTCAGGTGAATTTGGAGAGAAAAAAGGGAGGGCAAGTGCAGCAACACATTCATTGCTTCTTGATGAATTAAACTCCCAAGTGTACCTTTTGTTCAGAAAAATGAACTGGGAGTATTTCTATAAAGTCTTTGTCATTTCTTCAAACAGGCATGTGATTACCTCAGTGCGACACCGCAGAGCTAAATGTGGCACAGACACAGACCTTGGTTTTTGTAAGGTAGTAAAGAAAGTAATAAGGAAGTTAAATTAACTCTTAAATAACAGTGCCATCCGTTTTACTAACTCAGACTTACATATTATTTGAACAGCTGCCACAGATTTATATTAGTTTTATGAGCAACTTTTATATCCCTACTTTCAAATATCAATTATTACTAAAACTGAAACTTACCTGTGAATTCTGCCCACATACTTTCACACAGTGGTTCACAGTGGTGGAAATAAATTAGATTTATATCACCCAGTAGCAGCACTTATGTTTCTGTAAAATGAAAGTTAAGCTTGTATTAACTGATGGCTAATTGGGGGCAGCGCAACACAAAGCACAAAGGTGCTGCATGGTGAGATGGCAAGCGCGTTATCAAACAGCTGCTTATTAACAGATGCACCACATACAGAGCCACATTCATTTGGAGTCGTGTTTACCTCCTGCAACTTAGTCCAATATTCACCTTCCTTTTAGCTCCATTGTGGTCCACACCAACTCCTGAGGGAAATATCTGACACAGTAGCTTCTGAAGTCCCTAACTTTGTCTGCTTTTTGGTGCTGGGCAGGTAGGGTACAATGGGTTTATCAGAATGTTTCAAGCTGCTTACTGCATCTGGAAACAGAGATGAGACCAGTGAGACTAACCTAAGTAATGAAGTTTCATTCTGTAAAACCAAAACAACGAGCGAAAAGACACTAAAACACCCCAAAGAGCAGAGGGGAAATGCACACGTGGGTGATCATGTGATCACCACGAGTCACCCATTTGACTTTATACATTCTGTAGTCATTTGATCCATTGTTAATACAGTATAAATATAAAGATTAGAGCAGCTTTTAACTTTGCTCAAACTGGGGCCTAAAGGCTGGTTCAAGCAGGGTAACAGGAACACAGGGGTCGGACCCACATCAGGGGCGTAACAAGTTGGCACAGGGCCCTGATGCAAGATGGTCATAACGGGTCCTCCCATCACAATCAAAGTAGCATAATGTCAGTAACAAATTAAAGAGGTGAAAGCTTGCAGCTTTAAAACTACCAGCCACAGCGAAATGCACTGCACAGTTGACACCTTCATTAAATGAAAGCAAACAGCGTTCTGCAAAAAATATGAGTTATAATAGTAAGGCCAAGACAGTGAAATTGGTGTTAGAGCACCATAAGAGATTAAAACACAGCCTAACCAGTGACAGCGCACCTCAAAACATGAACACATGAGTGGTGACGGCTCACCTTCAAAACATATGAACACATGAGTGGTGACGGCTCACCTTCAAAAAACATATGAACACATGAGTGGTGGCGGCTTACCTTCAAAACATATGAACACATGAGTGGTGACGGCTCACCTTCAAAACATATGAACACATGAGTGGTGACGGTGCACCTTCAAAACATATGAACACATGAGTGGTGACGGCGCACCTTCAAAACATATGAACACATGAGTGGTGACGGTGCACCTTCAAAACATATGAACACATGAGTGGTGACGGCTCACCTTCAAACCACTTCAACCTACATATGGAAAAGATGATGATCAATGACTGTGCACCACACTGACATGACAAAATGTTTCCTGTCTGTTCCTAGGCATTATAAACACATAACACAAGTGTGTGGATTGATTACTAGTCAAATAAACAAGTTTTACTTACATTTTAGGCGCACTCTCCTGAGCTTTTTCAAAGTTGTTTATTAAACCCTTTGAATCCAGCTGCAGCTCAGAGCATTCTCAGTGTGTGACAGTGTGTCCAGATTAGTCTGCCCCAGTGAGCTCTTCAGGTAAGATTTTATAAGTGTGAGTTTGGGAAAAGATCGTTCTGCAGAGGCCACAGTCACTGGGATTTTTATGAAAAGCAGTAAAACGGTGCAGACTAACGTCAACTTACCCCAAAGCTTGCAGCGATGCAGTTGTTGTCCACAAACAACATCTTGCTTAGTTCTAGTGCTGTTTTCACTCTTCAGATGCGGACTGACAGGAGTTGCGTGGGAAATGTCGAGGTTATGTCATTTCAGTAGAGTTTAATATCGCATAACTCAGTTGCTCTGCAGCAGTAAAGTGTTTCAGGCTGGCCTGAAAGTGTCGGGGGGCAGTAACGTTACTCGTCCTCACGGTGGATGGCGCGATGCTGTAGCTAGCAGCAGGTGTCCCCTTCGGCTCCTCTTGCTCACAACTCGTGTTTGCTGCTATCAGTCTTTCTGTTTAAGGAAATTAAAAATTAAAAAAATTAAAAATTTTCTTGCTCAGCTGCTGCTGAACCAGACTTTTGTGTTTGTACTCCATATAGAGTTAATTTCCCTCTTGCTGTCACTTCACTAGCTAGCTACTCTTCTGTGCGGATTTTGCTATTAAAATTACCCAGAATTCTGTGCGGGCCCACAGAATGAACATCTTTGACATAAAATCCCATGAATTCATCCTTATTCACATATTTAAACTTAATTTAGACGTACCTACTTCAGAGTTATGTGGCAATGGAGTGTTTGTGTGTAAAAGTATTTAATGTTATTGTATTGTTACTGAATATGAATGACAAGTGTAAGAGAGAGAAAGAGGCCTGACTCACTGAGTACTTTACAGACCTACTGCAATATCTCAGGGAATAATTGCATGATATGATAACTTTGTGAAAATGGTTATTTCTAATGATCTAATGAGAGATAACTTAACTTACAGGCCCCGCAACTACCACGGGCCCCTATGCAACTGCCTTTCCTGCATGTATGGTAGTTTGCCAGCGCCGCTGCCCCACATCCATATGAGAGAGAGCTGATGCAGTTCAATAATTTATAGCAATATGGAGGAACACAGGTTTATAGGATGGTGAGGCAGCAAGAGGCAAAACCAGAGAAGGCAGTCCACACCTTTTTTATATACAGTCCAAACAAATCGAACAAATCCTACAAGGAGCAAGCAAGAAACAAAAGTCCAATAGTCAGGCAATAAGGTCCAAAACATGCAGGTAATCCCTAATTAGAACACAGGACCATAACATAGGCAGATCTGGCAAGGAGTGAGTGGGAATTCACTGGTTAAGTACTGTAAGTGTGTAAATGGTTGGGGCTATCAGGTGATGTGGAAAGGAGGAAGAGTCTGAGGGCATCTGGTGGACGTCGGATGGAAAATGGCAATGAAAGGTCCTGGGGAAGCAGTAAAGTGGCTGAAGAGGAGGAACAGAGAGACAGAGACTCTGACAGCATGAGATTTTCCACAAACACAAATCACTCCTACTTCCGTATGTTGACAGTGAACTTGAGAGCAAGATGCTTTTTCAGACTGTATTTGCGATTTGACTGATGGGTGCGCTTGACAAGCAAGACATGTTTTACTTTTCCTGTCAAAAGTCTGTCCATCTCATATATGTCGTTTTGCTTTCAGAACTAATCTTGGTAACTTGAATATTGCAAGCCTTTGCAGAACACTTTTGCTTCTTTATTGTTCCCAAATGAATCAGATTCACAAACCTTTTTTCAGAGCTATTATTATTATTATCAGATATTCAGCTTTGGTTTCACGCAACATTTATGCCCCCAAGTCCCACAACTCCTTCCACAGCTTGAAGTTTAACTTAATGAACAGCTTTTTTCCAGCAGTTTCACTTCTCTCAGTTTCACTTCTCTCTGTGCGTTAGATTTCTGTAGACTGACACTTGAACTTCACTTGGTGCTTACACTTAAATTGACACTTCCTTTACAGCTCCAGTGGTGTACATGTTCATTTTAATGTGATGTAAAATCCTCATGTGTCATGATCCAGTTAATGTAAGTGTAAACTGTTATGACTTAGCGTGAATGTATTTCATTCAGCGTGAGGGTAAACTGCAGAGATGTATCTAAACTTTTTGTCATTTGTGTTGTTTCCATTTCTGGAACTTGTGACACATGTTTGAAGATCATTATGATGTGTTTAAATGTCAAGACTTCACATGCTATTAACCCAGTCCCACATCCTTGTTTACCTGAAAGTACAAAGAAGCTACAGAAGCTGCCCTCGACGTGGTGAGGCAGTCTCTAATGTCACTTTTCTTTAGATCACACACACTCAAAAACAGTAAAGGAAGCAGGAGTTTACAAATGTTTATTTTACAAAAGAAGAGCTAGAAATGATGTAAACAGAGATTTATAGATCAATCTAAATTGTGGCTTCTTTTTTTTTTTTTTTGTGGGGAGGATGCAGTCTTTGAAGAGGCAGCAGAGCCAAGTGTTTATAGTACAGATAAAAATCATCTGAGTTCTGAGAAAAATTAATGTCAAAGATCAACTTGACACACAGAAATCCGAGTGCAGAGGATGAGACGCCTTGGAGGCAGCTCACTTGGGGAGGAGGGGGGTGTCAGGAGGTGTAGTTGGAGGGGTAAAGAAAGAAATAAAGAAAGAAAGTGATTCTGTCTACAATTTTGGCATCCTTGCAGCATTGAGGCGCATGGACACACAGGAGGAGCCGGCAGCGTAACGCATCTCCCTCAGCATGCCACTCCACTGCTTCTTATCGTCCTCGTACCTAACAAGACCGAGAGGAGTGTTCAGATCTCGCAACAAACACAATGGTAACCAACCAAAAAATGCAAATCCCATAACTTGAGAAGACTTACTGCCAGACGTCAGTGACCTCTGTGGGAGCCACCTCCTTGTTCTCCATCTCAACCATTGCGAAGCCGCCCACAGCGTACAGGGAGCCACCGCTGCACAACAGGTTGACAGAGCTCCTCTCCTGGGGAAACTCTGTGAAGGGCTCCCACCTGAGGCGACACAACATTAGGAGAAGGTCAAACGTAAGATGGAGCTCTCAATTTAGATGCCTGTTGTATCTTGGTACATTCATCCAAATTCATTTTTTTAAGCAGCTAAGTTAACTGAGATGTGGTATATGGAGGCCAAAAGACATACATTAAATACATACTATATATATATATATATATATATATATATATATATATATATATATATATATATATATATATATATACATATAAGAAAATGTGAAATAAGCAATGTAAAAATAAAAATACTCCTTATTTTCCGCTTTATTATAGGAAATGCTTATCTTTCTCCATGTTGACACTTTTATTTGATATCTTCAAGCTGAGAGAGCCAGTGCTAACGGCAGCCTTTTGATTCAAATTTGTTGTTTCAGAGAAAAACATATAAGTTTGTTTGGAGCTTGATAGTTAGCTGGCAGTTTGTGAGCCTGCTTGGGCGGCTGGGGGCATGTGATATAACGAAACACGACATTACGAAATAAATGTGACATGAAATGAAATTGATATCAAAACACATACAAAAAGATTTTCTATTATTTGAAAATAAAAATGACAAGATAATATTTTATCATAATGAGGAATGTATTTCACAATTTATTGGTTTAATTATATCTTTGAGATATATTTATTTTTCTGTGTTCAATTTATTCATGTGTTCATTTCATGATGTGTTATTTATTCATATACTATTCAACATTTTGGGGCTCGAAAGTATGTGGTAGTTATATGATTAATGCTAAATGTCAAAAAGCTGATTGTAGAAAATGTATATGATTTTTAACACAATTCCCCAACTGAAAGGTAAAACAAGCCCAAACAGAATCGTACTTGTTTGTTGCAAAGTCATAGGCTTCGCAGGTAGCAGTGAGGCCTTCCTCATTGACTCCACCAGCCACCACGATCTTGCCGTTGTGGATGACAGCGCCGAACATGGCTCTGGGCGTCTTCAAGGCCGCGAGCTCCCTCCACTCAGACTGCTTGTGGTTGTACACAAACATCTTGTTGAGGGCTTTGCTGTGGAGATGAAAGGAAGACAACAACTGTGGGATTTTTTTTATGTCAAAAGATGTTTGATGAAAAAAGATGAAAGATGAAAAAGCACTAAATAAGTTAGGAAGGAAACAGAATATAAAATCAATGAAAAGAAAGCGTTATAGGACAAAATACAATAGAGAGAGACGAGAATAATCAACAGAAATAAGAAAGAAAGAAAGAAATTAGAAAACTAAAGGATAAGTGCACTAAGTTTCTTTAAATACATTTAAAATATGTTATTCCCACTAGATTGGTTTTAGTGGGTGGGGACAGAACAACCTGGACAAAATTAATCTACAATTTGGAGGTAACATCCTGAAGTTTTACTCCAACTTCAGATACAGTTTGATGTTGCGTCAAATATCTGACAACAAATACTATAGAATGGGACAGGATTAAAGCTAATCTAATCTGGATCAATCCTGGATATAGTTGATTGAAAATGAAATTCAGGATACTGTCTGTATTGAAGGCATCTACAAGAGGATTCACCTGGACATAACAGATACAATTTATTAGATATTAAAAATAGTTGCATGGCAGATAAGGATGAGATATTTTAAAACAGCACAATCTAAATATATGATAAGAAATGTAATACACTTTGGGAGGATCAGGTCAGTTAGAGATCTCCTTCTTAAAACGTACTTTTATTGGAGAGCCAGATTTTCTTTGAACTGTCTTTTATTTCCTTTAAGGACGTTTTTCTTTTCCTATTCTTACCTTTGCTTACACTGTATTGGTTTTTATACATCAAATACTTGTTTTAACCTGACATTTTATTTTGCTGCCTTGGTAACAGGGGTTTTGAAAAGTGCTCTATAAATAAAGAGTATCACTGTTATTGTAAGGGTGTGGTCTAACAAGTACAACTTATTGTCAGTATACGGATGCAGTCTCTAAATTATAAATATATTTAAGTCTACAAGTTAGGTTATGATGAGTGTATGTCTGTATGCAGGTTTCTATTCTATTCTAACTGGGGAACATAAATAACATGTATCCATGTATTTGTTCATACCTTGGTTTAATTTCTTCTTTCATTTCTTGGGTCGTTTAAAAAGAGAGCTCAATGATGACATTCACTCTCTGATTAAGGCTTTCACACCTACTTTTTTTGAGACAGAGCCCCACCTGAATTCAGGGCAGGAGAGGCACACCTGTTTCCTCTTGATGATTAGCAGTGTTGTCTTAGTGTTGAAAACACTAAATCGACTGATCAGCTTATTATTAGATACAGTATTTAAAATCCTAAGTTGTGAGGACTTGTCGCCTTTTGTGTTCATGTATCACTGTTGTATTCAGTGCTTCACTCTTGCACAGGATCAGTATTTTCTTTACTGTTGTGCATTACACAGTCCTGGACTGTAACAGTGTAATTGTTGTCTATGATGTAGCCCTGCAGTCTGCCAGACCCCAAACAGCTGCAGCTCACAGCACAAGCTCTCTCTCTCTCTCATATTCACACACAAACATGCATTTACTCACTTGTCATCTGTCTTTCCTC